TGCATTTGCCAAACACAGCACACTGGCGACTGTCTAATTCTATTTCTATAGCTCACTGAATACACCCTAATTAAATGCCCAAATAATTGCCTTTTACTCCCAGATAGATCTTGGCAAGCTTTCGTAATACATCACCAGCCATGATTTCATGAACTGCATGTTTTTGTCAATAGTTTAAGCATTTTTCAGTTCCTTCCATTGGAAGAAAAAAATCAAATCATGAGAAGAGCAAGTCCTTGATTCACATGCTGTGGCACCCATGTATTCACATGCAAAATTGTTCCTAATAGTCAAATTTTCTGCCTCAATTTATAAAACATTGCATTTTCTTGTCCCCTCCAAAAACTCCTCCTGATGTCCCCTGATATAGAGTGAAAGGCTTTGAGCTTCTGTTTAAGAATAAGAAGGTACAGTCACAATTTGCTTCAGCTTTACTTTCATTTGTTGCAATAAAATGTGTTCAGGCACATCTGTAATGTGCAAGGAAGATCAAGCCAGGCTGAAAATGGCTCATCATCTGATACAATAATATTTCATTTTCAATTTCTGACCGTTTTTATTACTAATTTTTAATTCATCTTCTTCTGGCATCATCTCACTTAAACAAAGCAGAATTTCTGCTATATATGTCATAATTAAGGTTGACATAGGCAGTTTCATCCCCACCACTAGGGCTGTGGTTGTGCCCTAATCTCTATTGTTTACTTCTTCTGCAAGAAGTGATCCGATGCCCTCAATGTGTTCTGGCAGTAATCCATGTTTGACCACTGAAAAGGCAACTGCATGGTAACATAATTTTGGGTTGAGTGTTTTTTGTATAGAAAGCTTTGTTTTTGAGAGGACATGAATTTGAGAATCTCCATACATTTTCTCTATGTTATTAATTTTTTTTTACTTGTTAAATGTTAAACCTTGATTCGATCATAGTCAACCTTCTTAACTGTCCTGGGTCTGGGTGCATCTGAGCAGATTCTGTTGTTGTAAACCTGTTTCCATTGTATGTTGAATCAACATTTTACTCTTGTAGTTTAGTTACTGCGAATGCCCCTGTAATTTCAAATTATTCTCTCATAATCCCTTTTAAAATGTGAAATACTTTTGGTTGCTTCGAACAGAGTACACAAAAGGATGTCAATATCCGATGTATCCTTACTTCGTATCAAAAAAGGACCCTTGCTCCCCAAGACATGCACCATACATAATACTTCATCGATTCTCACGATTATGCTGTACTTTTATGAGCAGCTTCTGAGACCACGACGCAGGCTATTAAACAAGGATTATAGCTACTTGTTGTAAATTCTTCTCATATCTGAGTTTTCTTTATGCATTTGTGTTCCCCTCAGAGCGAGTGCAGTTAAGCAAACGACTGTCGGGTGATGAACTCTTCTTTCATTTCGATGTCTATTCCTTGTACTCTAGTGAAAGATGTTTCAGTGAGAGAGAGAGAGAGAGAGAGAGAGAGAGAGAGAGAGAGAGAGAGAGAGAGAGAGAGAGAGAGAGAGAGAGAGAGAGAGAGATAGAGAGAGAGAGAGAAGAAGAGAGAGAGAGGGGGGGGGGGAGGGGTGTTTGTAAAGCTGATAGATGTTTCCAATTTTAGATATCACAATTTCTGCTATTTTGCAAACTATTTGGCAAATAGTTCCCATTGCCCCTGTTGTCAACAGTTCCTCTTTTGCTCTTTTGGTACGATTACTTGGAAACTTTTCCAATAAAAATTTACAGATAAGAGGCAGTTTACCATGGAAGTACAGCGTAATAAAAAAGAAACGCTTTTTTAGGGGCTAATGTTAACCAAATAACCACAACGTGGATTTTCCCTATAAATAAATAACCCCTGAAGGCCGGAAATGCTGTCTTTTGTGTGATTCCCCTGCGTAGTCTTCTCGGAAACCTAACAAGGTCACTATCTCAATAGAGGATCATGACAGGTATTAGCATGCTCGGGCTTGTACAGTGGAAACCCGCATAAAAGAACCTGTTTTATAAGCATAGGGCTCAAATCTTGATTGGCTGAGAGCTTGCGCTAAATCATGTGACCTCTCTCGCCGCTGAACCAATCACAGCCCCGGAAAGTGTAAACAAACTTAGGCCAAAGCCGAAAATTGGGCATTTTTACCAACGTCCATTAAAAAAATAACGTGTAAAATCTGCTACAATAAATTTCAAATTTTTTTAACTTCATCCCTACACAGATAAATTTCCCACAAATCTACCGTGGAACATGACCTCGATTTTGCGTTGTTAAGAAAATACAGCGTTGTAAACCTAGCCACATAGGATACCTTCACATCCAAGGGGTTTAAAATTAACACAATTTCAAGTCAATTATTGCTGTTACCCCATAAAACCAAAATTTTGCATATTTCAGTTGCTTTAAATCTGAATATCACATTAGACTCAGCTTAGTTTTAAAAAACTCTGACGAACAACGCATGCAGTCTTTACTAGAGCTTTGATCAACGCAAAAATGAGAGAATTTCCCTTTTCAAGACAAAAACTCTCAATAGCTTTCAACTGATCATGTAAAAATGCTCCACCTAGCCGGAGAAGCTTTTAAACTGATACATAATGACTTAATTTGCGACTGTACCATGTCCTGAGCATCTCTGCTGAAACACAGGTATCTAAGTATTGTGGGGCGTGAAACGATTAGTTCTAAACATGTGCTGGGCACCCAAACAGAATCGTAATATATGTACATAAAGGGAAAAAGCTACTCAAAACCTAATTAGAAATACTTACTGTGTTTCTGTGAGTGTTGGAATCCTGCTTTGCCAATTTTTGAATCATGATTTACATAACGCGTTTGAAGGTAAATTTTTGGGTTATTCTTGTCCTTGTGACATAAGAATTCATATTTCGAACAATTCTTCACGCCCATCTCTTCCAGTCCGTTGCAATTTTAAATTTAGGAGATAGAAATGATGAAGACTTTTGAAAGCAGGAACTACCCGCATGTTTCTCAAATTTCAAAAGTTAGCAAATGATGACGTGTTGTAACAAAGTGAATTTTCAAAAAATTAAATTCAACTTTTAAAAGTATTGCAAGGGTTTCGAGATTTCGTGACTTTTCAGTGAAAGGTCTACATATTGATTCTTCGAAAAGTAACTTATGATAGTTTTAGAATAAAGAGAGATGCAAATTGTTTGCCATTATAATTGTTTTGCTTGAAGCGTTAAACTATAAAACTGTTAGAATAAAAAGTCAATTTTTGAACAGGGCCGATTTCTAAAAAAACGATAACTCTTTATGCTTCATATTATAAAGCAAACTGCCATGACATTAGCATTAAACTCATAATTTACTGTCACGAATAGCTGAGTTACATACAATGAGGTGAAACTATTCATAGTCAGTGGTGATTTCTAGGGGGTGTAGGGGGCGATAAATCAGCCCCTTTGCTAAGTCTTTTTCTTGGTTTTGGAGGCTCTGCCTCTTAAAGGGGAATTTTCAGGTCTTCTCATCTAGATCTTAGATCTTTTCAGGATAAGGGGGATTTTCGAAAGCATGATCAATGAAGTTTTATTTGCAAATACCACGAGAAAGGATGCACAAATTGTTAATTTTCTCATCACTGGTACCTCTTTGATTAGTGTCTCACCTTCGAAGTATACTGTTAAGTATACTGAAGTATAGCTGCATTGTTTTGGGAAGAACAGTCATATCAAACATTGATTTGCTTCAGTATTGGTTAATTCATTTGATGGGTGTGATAAAAGATGATCGTGGTCATAAGAAACCACAACCGGTCTTATAAAATCGCATCTAGAGCCCCCTTCCAAGAACTTTTAGAAATCAGCCCTGTTCAAAAAATGACTTTTTATTCTGACAGTTTTACAGTTAAACGCTTCAAGCAAAACAATTAAAATGGCAAACAATTTGCATCTCTTTATTCTAAAACTAAATGTCAAACAATTTGCATCTCTCTTTATTCTAAAACTATCATAAGTTACTTTTCGAAGAATCAATATGTAGACCTTTCACTGAAAAGTCACGAAATCTCGAAACCCTTGCAATACTTTTAAAAGTTGAATTTAATTTTTTGAAAATTCACTTTGTTACAACACGTCATCATTTGCTAACTTTTGAAATTTGAGAAACATGCGGGTAATTCCTGCTTTCAAAAGTCTTCATCATTTCTATCTCCTAAATTTAAAATTGCAACGGACTGGAAGAGATGGGCGTGAATAATTGTTCGAAATATGAATTCTTATGTCACAAGGACAAGAATAACCCAAAAATTTACCTTCAA